TGTACCAGAATATGTACAAGGTTATGTACAGTACAAGGATTTGTACAAGGCTATGTACAAGAATATGTACAAGAATGTGTACAAGGATATGTACGAGGATATGTATGAGGATATATGTATGAGGATATATGTACGTACGAGGATATGTACCAGAGTATGTACCAGCGTGTGTACGAGAATATGTACAGTACCAGAGTATGTATCAGCGTATGTACCAGGGTATGCACCAGGGTATGTACCAAGTTATGTACCAGGATACGTGTGTTGATATGCTCCAAGAAAAGGAGAAAGAAATTTTAATCAAGAATGGTTAAATGGCGCGTATAATAAAGGTGCGGAGGAATTCCCGGTACCTAGAGGGGTACCTAGAGCTAACAAACACCATATATTTACTTTATATATACAAAGAAAGACTAAATGTAAAAAAATTTAACCGAAATTAGAAAGTCTAATTGTGGCGTACTTAATTGACGAAGTTTACTGTAACACTTTAATATTTCACTTTAATATTTCAATTATTATGTCATGTGAATGTGGAAAAATCATTATTCATTTATTTGTATTGTTTCTTTTTGCGAATCAGGTTTAGGGTGTGTGGGCGTTGTCAATGTACGTAGCAATGTGGTCAATCTAGGTTTTTTTTACTGGCTAGTTTTTTGGTCTTTCAGCCCATTCGTCCTTGAAAATGAATTGCGCCTAAATATAAAAAAATTCATACATATGAAATATTATGAAATATAATGTACTGTACACAACATATCATCGTTATTCCGACTATTTAATTTCATTATTATTAATTAATTTCATGTTTTACCTACGTATAATTTACTAATAATATATGCTATCACAATTTTTCCTTGTGGTCTTTTTTAATACTCTAGGTGCATAGCTTGGTCTGCGTTTTTGTTTATCTGTCGAACGATCTGTTGTTAGAACAACACGCATCCTGAATATGTATAATTATAATTGTGCGAAAAGCTGAGAGGTGCCACAACATATAAAGGAAAATTGTATCTGTTTTTTTTATATTTTTAATTCATATAATAAAATAAATAATTCATATTAATAAACTATGTTTTATTTCTACTTTATTTATGCTACATTACTGTAATGCTAAAAATCACACCTCCTTGAGGGTGCTATAAAACTCGTCAAACGGTATGCGACCACACGATGTGCACAAAAAAATGCTTTGCAACGTTTGCACATCATCTCTCGTGTCACCCGTTTTTCTTAAAGTCTCCGTGCGACAAAAGTATTACTTGAAAAAAACCGATACTATCTGACCTATTTTGTCCTAGAAAAAAAAACCTTCATATTAAATTTATTTAAATTATTCGGTTCTGTGCTTCACATGAATAAATTAAAGTTATTTTAATCGTTAAGCATCTACTGTTCATCTGTTAATCTAATAGTATTTAAAGCACCTGCATATATAAATACACAAACATATATATACATATATATATACATTTATATATATATATATACATTTATATATATATATATACACATATATTACATATATCTGATATATAAATATACACACATACATATATATATATATGTGTATTTTTTTTTTGCTTTTTTTTTTTTTTTTTTATAGATTAATTTAAAATTTGTACTTGATGGTTTTTTTTTTTGATTTTCTGTAAATTTTTACGATATACACACACATATATATATTTTTTATTCTTTTTACTGTTAATTTACTATATAGCAAGCCCCTAAGCTTTCTGCTTTTTTTTTTAACCCCCAGATTTTTTTTCTCTCATCATTAGAAAATTCATTCGGTTTCCAAAAAAAATTTTTTTTTAAAAAATCATTTATATAATATTCTTTTCACACGAGACTTTTTTTTTTTTTTTTTTTTTTTTTTTTTTTATCAAACAAACTGTGAACTTTAATGGGTCCAGAAAAATAAATAAATAAAAAAAAAAAATCCCCTTTTTGTCATTTAGCTGAAATCTTACAAGTTGGTTTTTTTTTTCAGGTTTTATGTTAAATATATATACTCATAAAGTGCACCTTTTTTCTAAAATTCATACCTTGATATTTTTTTACTAGTAGAATTGGGAATTTAGAATTCGTAAGACCATAGGCCGAAATATTTTTTTTTTTTTTTACGAACGGGTAAATATTTACGAAAAATAAAAACCCATTGACGAAATGATAGCAACGTACAATCAGCCTACTTCTTTTGCACATCAACGTCAAAGTTCCGAAACTTTTGAAGATATCAAGAGTAATAACTCTTCAAATCTTCATGGACCTTATAGCATTGTAAAAAATTGTGACAGTCCATATAACAACTGTGCTATTCAAGCAAGCTTGAGCGAACAACCTCCACAACAACACGTTCAATCTTCCACTGGCTCACGGCAGCAACAAACTTTTGGCTCCTCATCGACAAAACAATTTAATAATAATACTCGAACTTCTTCATTATCAACGTCTAATACGACAACAAATCGCAACAACTTTACCGATACTCAAATCTTTACAACGGCCTCAACAACGGAGCATCATCAGTTCTCTCTTGCAAATTCTCGCAGTGGCAACGGTAATAACCATCCCAATTCCAACAATGGCAGAATTATAAATATGGGTCATAACGTTGGTGGCTTGAATTTAAAAGAAATTAATGATTGGACTAAAAATGCTGTAAAAGATTCATCGAAATTAAAATTTGGTCATATTCTTTTTGAGCAAGTAGCGTTTCCTCCAAAAAAGTCTCGTTGTGCTGATATTAATGAAGACAATGATGATGATGATGATGATTCGAAAAAAGATCTTTTGGGGGCTTCAATTTGGCGCCTTTATACAAAAGCGAAAGATGCATTACCCAACGGAATACGTGTCGAAAATATTACTTGGAGAATGATGTATTTAGCTTTAAACAAAAAAAATGCTGAACAAACTTTAATTAAACATGAATCGTTTGATGATGTCTTTTCAAGTAATATGACTAGACATTCCAAAAATTCCGTTGCCACTTCTAAAAAATCTATCGTTAATGACATTTCTGTTCAAGAAAAGTATGTTTTAAAATTATTCTAAAATTATTCTAATTCAATTTTTTACCTTCAATTTTTATCTTTTTTAAATTTCTATCTTTTTTATAATTATTAAATTTTGTATATTAATTAAATTTTACAATTATCGAATTATCGTTATAGGAACAGAAACTGCTTGAAAGATGCTGATAATAATGTTGAAACTGCGTTATTAAGTTTAGATATGGAAGATATGGAAATGGATTCGCTTAACAAACTTGACCGACATTTGACTGTGAACATGGATCAAGATGATTACAATGCAATTCTTGTTGATGATGCTCACGCTCCCTTTGTGATGTCTCCCCCCGATACTAGTAGTAATCCAGATGATAATCTATCCGTCTATACTTCAACTCCTTCTCCTGTGCTCACCTCTTCCACTACTTCGGCCATCCCAATTCCCGTGTCCTCTGCTTCAAACAATTATAACCCTCCTTTAACTACGTCTCCAACAAATTGTCATTTTGAATTCATTCCAACCTCTGAGGGATTCAGATTAAATCCACAAGCATTAAAGAGGAATTATGTGAATAATATTTCCGGAAAACCTATGATGTATAATGATCGTTCCTTTGCCATCCCTGTGTCTCGTTCTCAAATTTTCAATTCTACTGGTACTCATGGATTTCCTTATAAAAAGGTATGTTAATTATCAATAGATTTATATCAATATATATCAATAATTTTATTTTTATACATATCGGATATACATATATATATATTTATATCTATATATTTACTATTTATATATATACATACATATACATATACATACATATATATATATTATATATTATTATGTATATATAACATAATATATATTAACAATATATATATATATTGATCTCTTTTCTATCCTTATATTTATAATATTTATATTTTTTATATTTGATATATTTTATATTGTTATGTTTATATTTTATATATTTTTATATATATTTTTATATTCATTATATTCATATACATATGCATATACATCATATTCATTTATTTGATTATATTTCAATAATTTACAGGCACTAAAACCACAAAGCGTCTTACACTTTTCATCACCAATATCAAGTATAACAATACCGAATGACACTACTGATGACTCAGACGTGGAATTACCAGATTCATTGTCCTCATCGGTGACAACTGCATCTACCAATACACAATATCCATTAACTTTTAATCCCGCGTTTGATCAAACATCTCTCGATTATCCTGGTTCTTTAATAAGTTCTTCGGCTCCAGCTTTTTCCTATGCAAATTATTGTGAAATTGCTGCCTCTGATGCCTTAAATGATAATAATTCTATGTCATATAATCAATCAACTGCTAGCACTCCTATTACTCCTGCCGATAATCCAGGAATTTTCCTTGATCTTAATTCTGGAAATGATATTGGTGCTGATGGCTTTTTCAACGTTTATTTCATGCAGGGTAACAGTCCTCATATTAATCCCTCCCAATTACTGTCAACGTCTCCTAGTGCTTTTTATGAATTTATTCAAGATCAAAATTCGGGTGGAAAGAACAAATGTTCTAATTCCTTTGAATTTGATGTATTAGGTAGTAGTCATAGTGCTAATAGTCCTTCTTCAAAAATAAAAAGACATTCGTTGGATGACTCATCTATAGTTGATACGAACTGTATAAACAAGAACAATTCTTTGAACTCTTCTCCAACATTAACTAGTGGTGGTGAAGGATCTGAGTCTGAAACTTCAAATTCGATACCTTGTAAAAGACAAAGACCGTCTTCTCGCACGTCATTGTCATCTATTCCGACTAATAGTTCCTCAAATCCTACTTCTAATAATACTAAATCTCCTCCTTCTCCCCCAATATCTAAAGATGGTAATAATTGCGGAAATAATAGTACTAATGGTAATAGTGGTAATTCTTCTAAAAATGCTATGTCGACCACTTGTACCAATTGTCATACCCAAACAACTCCTTTATGGCGTCGTAATCCTGAAGGTCAACCATTATGCAATGCTTGTGGTTTGTTCCTTAAACTTCATGGTGTTGTAAGACCATTAAGTCTTAAAACAGATACTATTAAAAAACGTAATCGTAATGGGGGTGCTGTTGCTGCTGGTAAAAATCCGGCTAAAGGTGTTAAAGGTCCAGTACAACTCGGCCCGGGTGGTGCGAGCATGGGAGTTATAGGCAAGCGAATGTCTTCAATGACTTCGAGAACTCAAAATGGTAATACTCCTGCCCCTGCTCCGGTATTATCATCATCGACATCTAATTCACAATTCACCAACGGATTCACTGAACGGCATCAAATGGTTGGTGCATTGCCAAAGAGACAAAGGAGACTCTCGGGTGATGAACAACAATTAAATTCACAAACTCGATCCAGTGAAGTTCAACAATCACCAAATTATGGTGTTTTAAAACATTCATCTGGTTCATTTTCTTCTAATGGTGATCAGACAAAAATACAGCTTTTGGATTCACCACCTGGTTACAGTACATTTCAACCTTCAAATGTATCATCATCCAATACTCCTCCTAAACATAATATACGTAATATTCAACGTGCACATACTACTGGGCAAATTATGCACACTCCCTCAACATTGCCTCAGTCAATATTAGTGTATCCAATGGTGCAACCGGCACTATCAAGCGAGAATGATAATATGATATCTTCAAATGGCAACTATTCTCCGCGTTCTGGAATGATAATAAGGCACCGATCCTTAAATAATGGTAACACGGGTAACCGAGGATCAAGATTCTAATTTGAATATATATGATTTATTTTTTTTTTTTATCAAAATTTAACAAATAGAAAAGGATTATCCATATATAGTGCCAAAACTTCTGGACGCAAAGTTCGTTAGTTGTCAATTTGAAGAATGCATTATTTCGCTACGACTTTTTTTTTTTTTTTTGGTTTTTGGTTTCAATTGCTAAACGATTAATTTGATCGAGTTAAAAGGTTATGATTTTATTTATCAATGTGAATATATATACTTTTTTTTTTTAAACATAAACCACAAGATAACAGTACATCCAAAGGATGTTCTGTTTTAATTTTTTTTTATTTATTTTATTACAACATCACACACTTCCAAGCACAATAACCCCCCTCCCGACGCATAAAATTTTTTGTGAATATAATTTTCAATTCATGTTTCCTTTAGGAATTACTCTATAGGATAACATTTTTTTTTTAAAAAAAAAAAAAACTATTCCGAATGTCCAATTTTTTTATATCGATTTTTTTTTTGAGCACTTTTTATGATTAACACGCACCGATTACATTTTAAATTTACAACTGTACAGTATAATTTTTTTTTAACTTAACACGAATTTATATGCTTTTTGAAATTTTCACACTTACATCTTCAATATATACCATATGTATATTTATGTTAAAAAAAAAAAAAAGAAATTTTTTTTTACTAAAGCATTACATTTGGGAATAATTATGTGCATTAAATACTGTGTTCAGTTAATGAATGTATATTTTGCATTAAAAAAAAAAAAAGGAAAAAAAAATAGATTTTAATTAACTCGATTAATGATTAACGCTAAGACTATAAATGTAATGTTAATATAAATAATTTTGTAAAATAAATTTGCTTCCCTTGATTCCTTGACTTTATTTACACATATATTTTGTTTAAATGTGTTTATGCACAAAAAACGTGTCAAAATTATCGAAAAGTTTGACAGTTTTAATTTTTAATTAATTAATTTCACAGGTTTAATTTCTTAATTTTGCTGGTTTAATTTCTTAATTTTAAGTAATTTTGCCTGAAGATTTCAACATCTAAGCGTGCACACTTTGGCCAATATAATTTCTTAATGCTGGCCAAAAAAACCCGCGTCACTTGAACTCGTCATTGCTAACGATTTCACTCTATTAAATTTTTTTTTTTTTCATCTTTTGTTCATACTGTTATTTTACCATGATATTAAGAATTTTCAATTTATATATTGAGAAATACAAAATAATTAATTCTTACAACCGGTTCTTTATAACACTATAAAAAATTTTAAAAAAATCAAATTCAGGAAACGCTCATGTTTTTAAAACAAAAAAGACCATAAAAATTCCGGGTAAAATTTAAATCATGATAATATTGCATTTAATCTTTTACACTATTAAAATTAAAAGCCGAATATTATCAAGATTAAGAGTAATTAAGAATTTATATACAAAAAATAAGCATTTTTAGAAACGATAGCTTGAGGAGCGTAGGTGTATGTTTTTTTAATTTTTGTTTTATAGAATACCTTTTGGAAAATAATATTATAGTACTGGTTATGGGAAACAGACTTCCCTCTAACTTTTTAAATTGCAAGCTATGATTTTAAAATTTTTATAATAAAATAAATTGTAGTTGTTGATGAAGCCTACAATACGTGAAACACCAAGGAGCGGGCATATAAGAATATTAGGTGGTTTGTGTTCTGGGTCAAGCTTCTCTTCGGCTGACTCCTCTGTATATTCGGCATTCAAATCAGAAGATTTATTCTGGGAACAAGTAGAGCAAAAGTTTCTGGTTAATAATATCAAGTAAAACTGAGAAGTTATACTATATAACTGTAAAACTTACAAGAAGAACCTTATATACTTTTGTTAACCCCCACTTTACTTTAGGAAAAATTTTGTTAAAAGTAGGTGATTTAATTTACCTCCTCCAAAGATTGGATTGATATACTATTTACTAAAATGGTCAGCAGTGTTTATTTTTAACCTATTACAACAAACATATAAATATATATGAAATGTAGACATGTGGATTATATGTTTTGAATATGATAATTTAATTAAACAATATTTAAAACAAGTGTGAATTTCTGATCTCTCTATGATGCTAATGTTAAAGAAGATATATATGGGCTAGATGCTAAGAAAAAGGATGAAATTGACAATTTTTTCAAAAAATGTTTTTTTATATAAATCAATTTAGTATAGTTTTTTAAAGTTAACATTTTTTTATAATTTATTATAATTTATTATAAAATTTACAACATAAAAATTGATTTTTTGAAAAAAATTTTTTTTGTTAATTTTGTCTCTTTTCTCAGCATTTAGTTTATATATATTTTTTTTTAAACTAATTTCTTTGAGTTTAGAATTTTTTTATTCAAATATTTTAAGTAAAAAGGTTCTTATAGATTCTTCTTTATATTAAAAAGTATATATTAGTTATATATATACTTTTGGTATCTATTTTAAATAGTTTGTCTATAATTAGGTTCTATATTAGATGTTATATCTGCAACTTAAATTACAGGTGCTGTTTATTTAAATTTTTTGTAATATAGCTCACTTGTATTACTATTATATCTTTTATTATTTCTTAAACCATTAGACAAATTTGTCTGCTTAAATTTTATAAATTTTTTTTTTTTTTTTTTTTTTTTTTTTTTTGTTTAAA